TGTAATAGGGTGGCCATGGAAAGTGGATGAGTGTGGATATATTTCCTAAAGCCCGGTGGAACTGTGGACGCACAGGTTTTGATGTTTTGTGGACAAGCACAGAGGTGTATTTTTTACATGTTTTGATAAAACAAGACTCTACAAAAGTTATAAAAGGATTGGACTCACAAATTGGCACTATATAATAGCACAGGTTAATTTGGGCTAATGTATTAGTTACACTTACTGGGAAAGGTTATGCACACATCAATAGCTGATCCTCTCATCAAATAAAATATTATTCTTATTAGAGCACATCCACTTTCTAGAAGGTAGTCTCCCACATTCACAGATGCATATGTACAGCTTTGTATACCTTGACAGACCATTAGACTTTGAAACAGCATATGCCCTTTTACATCATAAAGAGGGAAGATATTTTCTTGGCATTCTTCCATTTCTAAATACGCTGAGATTAGTTGGCTGTCTAGGATTCCGCTCATCATTTTAACATGACAAATAAATGTCTTATTTAAAAACAGGGGACAGACTTTACATGGACTTGGAAATATGGTAAGCTTATTGATAAATATAAAGATGTATTAAATATGTTTACAACAATAGTTGCTATTTATTATTGTTATGACATAATCTCTACCACATAAATCAACACTGCTTTTTGAAAGGTAGAAAGAACCACCTTGAATTTTATTCACACTCATAGGGCTGAGGAAAGAGAGGTGTCTATATTGCCAACAGCAAACAATCAAATCGTGGCTGTCATTAAGTTAGAGTGAGAGTAGGAATGTGATTGGCTGATATGGGTATCAAAGACTCTTATTTTAGCTTATAGAAATCCTCCTCTTATGTCATGTAGTGATTTATGTGAACAATTAACATAAATCATTTTTGAAATGGTCTCCTAAAACTTTAGTAAAGTTGTGATAATAACAAAGCTTACTGAGAATTATAATTACCTGTCCATAAATTGAAGCTATATCTGAATACTGAGCTATGATCAGTATGGGATGCATAGGTAAATAATACAAGTGATAATGACTTTAAATGTCACCAAATCCCTATTTGATTAGGTAGATGATGTTTAGGCAAACATCAGTTGCACAGAAGTAAATGTTACCGGAAGAATGATATTTAAAAAGAAATGGAGGCACCCTAGCTAATCTGAGATTTTTGCTGCTCCTGAGCTTCATAAATTAGAACATTTTGAATGGCTCCTTAAAGTACTAGATCATTTCCATTCTACTCACGGTTTTCCAGCTCTCCATACAGCATACAGATCATTAGGAAACTACGAAGCAATCAAGTAATGTGCGTCTGATGAAATTATTCTATCAATGTGCTGGGCTCCTACTCACCCCATCCCCCCACCCCACAGAAACAAAACAACATGGGACAATTCTAGAGTCACAATAGGCTTTCCAGAGAGAAAAGAAAAATTAAAACAATAGTCTAATTCTTCCAAACCATCCTTTGTATCTTGGCACATAGATTTACCAACAGAAATGTCATTGTATTTCAGTCACATACCATGTAAACATTTTTAAGGAGTTAATACAATTATTCCGGATTTGGGTTTTTTGGCATCACTTTTATTTTGCAATGAAGTGAAGAACAACCTGTTGTTTCATATTACCAGCCATGTTAGACAGGCTTAAGGCACCCAAAAAGTGAAATTGATTCATACAGTTCTGGTGCAGATGTCTTATATTCGAACAGAGTATGGGCATATTATCAGATGAACATTAGGTTGTCAATCTTATGGCTTTTCTGATGGGTAAATATCAGCTAGCTTCACTGAAACTGCTCTGTGGAGACATTGCCTAACATCTAGTAGCTTATTATGAAAAGAATGCTTGCAGACAAAAGAAAAGTTACCTATAGCAACCAGAATATTTGTTGTATTTACAAGCCAAGACCTTTAGGAATGAGCTTGAGTTTGATTTATTGCTATGGGCAACCAGAAACTTTCTTGTTAGCAGATTTTTTTACAGAAGCCCAACACTGCCCAATGGACATACACGTTAAAAAACAATGTAGGAGGATCATTCCGTCAAACAATTTTTGTGAATGAGTATATTTGCCAAAGACAACTTACAATCCTCTTTCATTAGGATTACAGAATAGGAAGTCTGCATGTATAAATATGTCTAAGGAACAGAAGTTGATTTCAGTTATCTGCAGCTACGATTAGCTCTTGAAACATTTCATATACATCTACAACTGACAATCGATCGTCGGTTATTTTATCATACAGTATAATATAGGTGAGCTTTCACTTTATGTGCAGCGTTTTATAACAATATCTAATTTTCTTCCATTCTATTAAGTATTAGATAGCGATTTACTCTGGCAATAAACTACTTCACCATACTCCATACTAGACATAAAAAGGATTATATACAATATATATATATATATATATATCACCAGTAATCTGTGTGCAATATGATGACCAATGTTAGCTGTGGTCTGCTGGGTGTCTTTAAAATGCTTCATGACAGAAAGGAACTATTATAATAGCAACACTCAGATATGAAGAAAATATTCTCCAATGGGCAACACTACACCTTAGTGGAATTTCCATGAAATGGTTTCCTGCATTATTCAGTAAGACATAGTAGAGTGCCATGCTGATATTGAAGATGCACTAAAACATCTCAACCAATCAGAATCATCTTTCACAGCTCTGACTTTAGTAAAATGACTTTGACTGTCTTACTCAGAAAATCTATATGTCCTCTTTATTACAACATGACTTTAATAAGGATCAGTGACACAAAAGTGATTAATATGCACAGACTGCACTCACCATGAGTAAAATTAGAGAGGTGTGCTAATTTTAGCTAGATATACACAATTTGATAACAATTCAGCTATTTTTATTCATCTGGTTTTATACTATTTGCAATGCACTACTTCTGCAGTTATCCAGTGACAACATTCTCATTATAAATGATTACACGCTATGTGTAACAATTACCAATTCACCACTTTCATGGCAACATAAAGTCTTCTATAAAAGAGCTAATCCCCTTGTCAAATGCACTAATTGTGATGCAAGTTAAATTAATTGTCTGAGAAGCAGCTTCATTATTTCACACAAGGAAAATTCATGTGTGGTCACATGTAGCAGATATTATAAAAGTGGGTTACTGTGTTAGCTGCTAGAGGGATGGTACTATGGTAGCTATGAAGAGTCATGCATATTTTAGGTAGCATTAATGGTATTAGAAGCAAAGCAACAATTTTAAGGAGTAAAATCCAGAAGGTTTTTTTTATGATAACACAATAAGGACATAACTATATCAATGCCGCTTGTGTTGCTTTTGTACCAATAACTCAAGAACCTTGGGTAAGTCCAAAGGTTATTACACAGCTTAAAATATATTATATGTAATGGATCCACCATAATTGACTTATTGTTCTGTACCATCGCAATGATTTGCTTGTGAGAAATGTATCCCCAACACAAGTCAATGAACTACACAAACTAATGCTTTGCATGATACCATTTAACCCTTGATTTTTTTTTTTTTACTGAATGAAGATTAATAATTTTCCCCAGAACTGACCTTTCCATGCACCTACAGAAAGGGACACTGACTTACAGTGCCCAAAGTCGCATACAGTATGTCTTATCATAATATGTATAGGTAGGCTAGCCTGGGTCTTAATGTATCTTATGTCTATAACTCCTGCACATCAGAATTTATGAAAAACTTGCAGCGACAAGTGACAAAGGGACAAAAAAATATCAAGCATTGATTAGTAATAGTGTTGACAGTATTGAGCAATATAATTCTATATTTAAACTTTTAGTTTAGTCATTACATTGCAATATTTTCTTGACGTTAATGACTCAGACTTTTCTGCTGTAGGATTCCTAAAAAAAAGCAGTCTTGATCAGATTTAGTGCTTGGTAGAGTGCCCAAAAACTGATCATGATCCAATACTAAAAGGGGTAGAGGAGGAGAATTCTTATGTATTTGCATTAGTGATCTCCTGCCCACTCCCTTCCTAAGGGGCCCTGCGTGTTCAGACTGTAGATAAAATGACAGCCTTGATGGTATACAGGACTCAGTGCAGTTTATCCTTCATAATGCCCTAAAGTCTCTGCTGCTACACATGCTGCTTACATAATAACAACCTCTTTATGGAAATAGCATGAATGCATAGACAATGCTATGTATGCAGTAGAATTAAGGAGGTGTGAAAAGAGGGTTAAGACACAGTTAGAAATATGTGCCTCAATACTTGCAACCAGACAAGAATGTTCCCAGAAAAGCTCCCTTCATTGCACCCTTGCTGCCAATAGGTGGGGCCCACAAGCTTTTGGCCACTCACCGGTTCCTCTAAGAGGAAATCCACACACATCTACTGCTTCAGAAATGTTTTTCTCACTCTTTCTGTCTGCAAGCGTTTGTGTCCCACAAAGGCTGATCACTGCAGCCCAGGCACATGAATGCAGCCTTTTGTAAGCATTCCTCATCCTCCGTGCTTCTCAGAACAGTGGGTCTCCAGGCTGTATGGAATGATGTGAGGGGCAGCAGATTCCCCCAGCACATTTCATTCAGTCACACCTGTCACAAAAGCAACTCCTCAAATATAGCCTGACAGCCTGTAGAGTAAAATAAGACAGCATGCACACAGTGCATAATAAAACACACATTCCCATAGTTTCACTATAACAATAGAGAACCAATACATATACTGCATGCTTCTTAACAAAATCTATATCTTGGCATTGCTGAAACACCTGTATGATTTTCAGATGCTTTCACTGCTGCTAGGTCTCATGTAGGCATTTTCCTGCTTGCTGTTGTAGTACTGGCACTAAGTATGGTAGATTCAATAGAAGGTTATATAAATATGATTATTAGAACACAACCATGCAGCATTTTACTGATATGACATTAAAACAAAGATCATATCGCACATCACGTTGAGAGTTACTGTAAAGAAACACGACTGGAGAACATAAATGATGCAGGAAATCTTACCGATGTGGATGATTGAATCTGATCTAGAGTCTGCTCTTGTCCTGTCCCAAGATACAGTCCAGAAGACGGACAGATAGACCACTGCATGCAAAATGTCCATCTTCTTCAATGACTGCTGACCACAAATCAGATCTTCATGAGAAGTCTGGGAACAGCGTTGAGAGTTAGGCAGATCTCTGAAGAGTTTAATCCCTGTATTTTTATGGGGTAAAAAATGGAGGCATCGGGTGGGGGATAAACCAGGATAGATCGAGCAGGATAGATTGAGCAGGAAAAAGTCTATTGATAAGATTTGTTTCCTTGTTGAAAAACCAAAGCACAATTCTTGATTCTCAGAGCGTGAATAGAATATCCACTGGGCATCCAAAGCTGAGCATAAGAATGATTTCACATGCACCACAGAAAATTTTCCATAGAGCCGCATATACTAGAGCAGACAAACTGCAGAAAATGACAGTAATCCTTCAGGATCCTAGTGCAGATCTAGCTCACAGAAACCCTTTTAGATTAACGAGGGAGTGAATAACATACACACACACACACACACACACAAGAACTGGCTATATAAAGGCTTTGCTTCATGCATCTTCTTCTATTGAGCAGTGTGTGACAAATGTGCATGGGAATACACCAGCAGCATCCAGCTGTAAAAGTAAAGAGCTGCTGCATGTATTTTCAGCGTCCACTTAGATAGGCACTGGGATAAAGAGGGAATCCTAATACCATCCAAATGAATTGAAGGCTTATCCTCAAACAGGTTGCGAGTGCAGTTTAGATGCTTCGGTAGGAGCAGGCTGTCTGGTGGGGAGCAATGCTGGATAACAGAATGCTCCCAGTTCTCAGCTCCAGCAGCAGCAGCAGCAGTAGCAGACAGGCAGCCAGCACGTTGCCTAGAAATGAATCACCTAGGAGAAGCAGGAAAATACAGAGAAGAGATAAGAGTACCATCAAAGCCGGGGAGAGAGGCAGAAACTGAGAGCTGAAGAGGCATCTAGCTCCTCCCTCTTGTCCCTATCTGCAATACAAGGGGAAATAAGACACAGCTCCCAAGTTCTTACTTGGCCTTTGAAAGCAGAAGAGGGAAGAGGCTGTGCTT